GTAGCGAGGCAGGCGGCATGAGTCATAGTTTGTGTATAGTGTAGCTTTGTGCTGCTGCTACAGCCGGGTGACGGAGGATCGGAACCCAAGAGGCATCGAGTCCATTTCCAGACGATTGGGCCGCCCAAAGTATGGACGATCGTGTCGGTCTAGAAGGCCAGCTCAGACAGTGTCGTACGACTCAGCCCGACGCGATTTTTTTGTTGTCGCGTCGGGCATGCTGTGTGAGTTAAACGCAGACGCTAAGGTTTGCGTCGGGGGCAGTCGCGTCATAGAATATTAAGCATGCTTAATATTTCTCACGACGGCTTAAGACTGTCCCCGACGATAAATCGGGTCGGGCTGCGTCGGCCGACGCTGTCTGAGTTGCCCTTTACAATAACTTGCTTCAGACCCCTAAGGGTCTATATTTGCTGAGCTACCCGGTAAAACGGTACCCAGGCATGGGCTGAATGGATCAGCACATAGGGGTACCCCTCTAATTGTCTCGTGAAAGATGTACTGTGTACTTTAAAGTGCTCATGAGCCAAATTATGTAGGCGTACACATGGGCCTATGGTTTATAGTCCTTATTCGAGAAAACTTGTTCCACCACCAGAACCATAGACTATTGTGCAGTTCGAACCTGCGCCGATATTACGGTCCAATATAGTAGCTTAGAGGGATGCTTCCCCTTCAATATTAGGCTCCTGGTTCAAATCCTTGGGCGTGACAACACAGGATTATTTTATGACGAATGAAAAACATCTCCACTCCCTATCTGCCTGCCATAGGCTAAGTTGGAAGGGTCCACCGTCTATAAATTGTTAAGGCCAGAAAGTCAAATGAAATCCGGGACCCTCTTAATAATTTATCCAAATAAAGCGATGTTCTATGAAGCCATAATATGAGGCTTAAGAGGTGTTGCTTTTAGTCATGAGAAAAAAAGCCTGACATTGACAGGATTTTAATCAGAAATCCTGAGATTGGACGACGGAAAGCATCTTAACGATCACCTTAACAGTCCCATAATTGTAGGCCCAGGATTCCAATCAACCGCCGACCTTCCGTTCCCGGTTTTCTGGGCTTCAGCAAGAAAATGGGGACATAGACTGAGGGTACAGTAGGCTTACTAGTACCATAATGATAATATTTGTTATAACAGTTCAAAATCGGGCCCCAATATCTGTGTCATTATTTAAAACAATTAATTACAATGAACCACCCTAAATGTTTTCAATAATGATGGTACACGCGTAACCCCAATAGGCCTTAAGGATGTACATTCCAGACAGATTATTTAAGCCGGGCACTCAATGCGTCGTATGACGGTCGTACGACCGCCGCACGACGTTCCCAACTCCGCTCTCTGTGAGCGATAGACGACGCTAAATTTTTGGTGGCAGTCTGAATGGATCGTCATTAAAAACGATCCGTTGCGCGCACGTCGCCGCGTTGCGTTCTTTATAGCGTAGCGTAGGCCGACGTCCGTCGTTCGCAGTGAGTGCCCGGCTTTGGGGCCAAAAATCATTATGATATGCTGCCTTCCAACTAGCCGCTACACGCGTTACAAGATCACTCAAGTCAAACCACTTCCAGACCGCAAACAATTAGATTCACTCCAATCCCTTCAGGCTAGTAAATAGCGGCTGTCACTTTTAGTTTGTCCATTAATTAGTTACCGGTAAATTAGGAAAATAGGGGTAGTTTTAAAAGCAGCATGTTGTGCAATTACTGTAAGGTTCTACGTCCAACCCGGGTATCAATTTATTTATTTTGTGTGTGTATGACAACATGGTACCCGAACAGTCTGTCGAAACCCAGTTTGCCGAGTCCATGGCCACTCTGCTGAAACCAAGGTTGCCGAATCCAGTTCATCGAAATCATGTCAATCCTCAGTTTGCTGAAACCCAGTTTCCGAACACATTTGCCGAATCTTGCACTCACCGTCGTACAAACGCACGTCCTACGAATGTACAGCATACTGTGCTTTTGAAAACATAGGCCTAATGGGTGGAACAGGGAGGAGCCGTATTTATATAAACTTGAAAGGTAAATACTGGAAAACGATGCTGTCGTGGGAAAACACACTTGAAAGGCATCTGCATGGCTATCAGATAAAATTAGAAATGAAATGAAGGATTAAGCTTCGTATACCTCTCCCACCTCAACCCTCTACCCCCGTTTCCTGACGCCATGACGAGGTCGTTCGGACCAAAAATAATAATTTGCCTATCAGAATAACGTTGATTGCCAATCCCTAATATTATGGTAAGGTATAAAAACAACAATTTGGGCCATAGGCCTACTAAGCCCTAAAAACTCTTCCCGCAAACCCTAGCAGAGATTTTTTTTTTTTTTTTTTTTTTTTTGCCGCTACCCTGACCGAGCCTCTAGTGGCCCCTTAATTCATATATCCTGTCGGACTTGTTGGACTCCCTGCAGCCACCACTGGCATGTGTGTATAATAGCAGATAATATTTTACTTTCTTTAGGTCTACATTATCAGTGGCCGCTGGCGTACCTATGCGCACTCATGTGGCGGTCCGCAGGACCCCTGACATAGAAATTTTGATTGGCCTATTTAATTATTTTATTCTGCTGATCAAGTTTGTTTTAACAGACCGCTATACGAATACAAAGTGATCGCATCGCGTTGGAATGACTCCTGAATGAATTCTCAACCTTACAGATGCAGTATGGTAAAATAGTGTTCCATCGTGAATGTAAAGCTTTTTGTTAATGTTTCACTGCTTTTAATTGACTCTCGGCAAACTGGGCTTCGGAAAACTGTGATTCATGTTTTTAAGCCGCCGGCAAACTGGCATTCGGCAGAATGGGTTTCGGTAAAGTGGACTCGGTATTCTGGCATTCGGCAAATTGGGTTTCGATCCGATAACATAGGTCTATTACCTGTTTACGTTCAATATTGCATCCGATTATGCTACCGTGATTAAGCTATAGTGTGGTATTACTTTTAAAACAAAGTCATAGACTGATCAAGTTAAAATTATAATATCATGTACTATTCAATCTAGTAGGCCATACCACCTCGCCCCTTTTGGCTCGGTGCTTCGGACGTCGCATTACCCTCGCTACCCAGATTTTTTTTTTTCGTCTAACGAGCAGAATCTGGATATATCGCTTTTCCTACGATCCTCTGAACTACTGTAAAAATAGGGCCTTCAATTGGTTTGTCAGTATCACATGGCCTAAAATGTAAGTCGCACTTTTCCAACTTACTTTTGCACTTTCGATTATCACATTGCCTAAAGTTACTCGAGTCAGTAGGCTTGCCTGGTTTCCCGCATCCTACACAGTACTTCTTCTTCTTCATTCCCATAAACTTAAAGATTGTTCGCCAGAACTTTGAGCTAAAAATAATAACAATTTAGGTAGTTAGAACATTTAATTTAATGTACTACCTTATATTCATATTATTTTCTCATAATGATATTTTTAAAATGTTCAACTTTTAATAATAAGTACTTCAATGCTATATGTAGGCTAGGTTCTGTCTCTTATACACATCTAATCCGCCACTGTGAAAGATAAGTGCAGAAAACAATATTAAGACAATTTGTAATGTTTTCAGTCAAAGAAGGGGATGTGTCCCCCGTTTGTTCCACAACTGTGGATCTAACACTGGATTTATTGTTAACAGTTAGTAATATTCAAGCTAAGTTAGTATAATAGTGACGATGATTGTTTAGGACCATATCTATTTGGAATACAACACCCCTATTGTAACATACTACTATGGGAACATATTTATTAAGGAGACACTTAGTTTTGGGTTCCGAAGGTGTCCCCTTAATTGGGGTTCTACCTTCATCTTTAAAATTGTTTATTTGTGCCCTTACTTTGCTGCTATTCTATCGCAAATGCTAATTTTCTCTATATCTTCTGATGAATCCATACGAACTTTCATCTGCTTTCGTAAATATTTCAGAAACCCGCCGCGTTTTTTCAATATGTTATTGTACAGCCAGACGACCCTCTGCCGTTCTCTGTGTGGGTAGTAAAATGATGCAATAAAACGGCGTAGGCGTAGACCGTATGCTTCAGTAAAAACCATAACCAGTGTCATGGCAAATATTATACCTGTAAAAATTTGAATAACATACAATTTATAAATATGAATAAATAATATAAATAATTATTGATTCATTAAATGATAATAATTAATAATTAATTTAATATAAAGCATAGGTTTTTTTGCATTATGCACTACACAAGAATAAATATTATTATGTTGAATATTAAGCCTATTATTACATATTTATGTAACAGAAGAAAAACGAAGTTGAATGCAGATAATTTCGAATTGCAAAATATTAGTGTTAATGTTTATAATTATGAATTAATTATACAATGAGAACACTAGAGGGCAGTATATGATAATAAATAATATTGATAAGTACGTGCTTGTTTAGCGCCCGATATACATAATACTCATAGTCTACATATTGTATCTAATAAATATAATATAATTTTAGATATAAAATAGTTGCAGTATAGATATGTTAATAACTTTTCAATTATAATTTTTAACAGTTTTACTCTCGACTGATTGGTTGTTGTTTGGCTGGTTGATTGGCTAATTGATTGATTGACGAATTGAGTGATTGATTGACTGAATGAATGAATGGAAATGAATGAATAAAAGTATGATTGATATATGGGTGGTGTTAGTTACCTGGTTGGTTAGTCTTGCTTGATTGATTGGTTCATTGACATATAGACTGTGTTGTTCAATTGATGGCGGTGGGTTTAGTTACCGTATCTTCATTAGTTTTTTTTGTTTTTTGTTTTTTTTTTACTCAGTGACAATTTAAAGGTCGTAACATTTCTAACTAAGCACAGAGCAGGGACGGATTTGGTGTGGGGCTGAGGTGATTCAAACCATCTGACTTTTTGGCAGCCCTGCCCCAACCATCCTTCCCACCTCCTTATGAAAAATCCTGGATACGCTTCTGCAACGGTCCTTGTAGAAAAAATGCATTCGGACCAAGATTCAAACCCATCAGTTAGGAGCCTACATCTTACATTGTTAAATCTGAGGTTATGAAGTACCTATTGTTTCGTAAGAACCAACGTTTGGTGGTTTCGGTTGTGGAAGACATTCTGTTACGTCCAAACTAATATTCAGTTGGCTCATTGATTCAAAAGACTCCACAAGACGTCGGTAAACATTTGCAATCACTCCGTCCCCTTCCACCTTTACTTCAACAAATGCAGGTTCTGAAAGCAAGACAACACATAACATGATTTAAAAGGTAATATTATGTCATCACTTTTATCCATATTCATCTGTCTGTGTCTGCTGTAAAGTAAAGGTAAATGTTAGATTATTAAATTAGTGGGTCCTGATTTGTTCTTATTGGTGCAGCCCACCACTATCGATTAATGAGCTGGAATATTTTTATTTAAAAAAAATGAATTTATTCAATATCATCTTATAAACAATCAGACAACAACTAAACATGAAATGATCATGTCCCAATAGAGCACAGGCATATCGGGCGGATAGGCCTAATTCTAAAATTGCGAAAAAGACAATTATTCCATAGTGGTCCCCTACATGAACTGACTAAAATTAATTGAAAAACACGAGTACTTTTTCTCTAACAAAATTCAACGTTTTGTTTCTTACTTTCTAGTTCTATTTTAATGTTGGCGTGCTTTCGGATGACGGTAAGAAACCAATGAATGAAGGAATCGGTGCCAATTATCATGCCGGTATAGAGGGCGTGGGTACACCAGATCACCAAACCCATCGCAAACTTGCGCTTTTCTGGTTTTGCCATACGGAGCGAAGCTGTAAAATTGCAAAATATATCTGTTATATTATAAAACGTAGAACACATACATAAACATAAGCCATCAAACAATAGTTTATATACTGTACCTATATACACATATATTTTAACAAATTTGAAATAATTCCTATGAAATATTATATTTCACAAGTGTCAATACTAGCAACGAAAAATATCATGTCGGCCGTTTTTATGTGTGATAACAGAACCTAAAATCGAGGTAAGGCTAGGCCTAGCCAGAAGCGTTGGATAGGCTAATGTTTTCGGGGCCTACGATATTTCTTCTCACGACCTATCGCAAAATCAACATGAAAAATTCATCCGCATTTATTTTTTGTGTGGAACACAAAAAAAAATCAAATTTCAGCCTTATTTTACATTTTTTTTTATTCTTAGGAATGTCTAAATTCAGTTAAACTAGTAATTCCGTATTATATTTATAAATCTTTATAACATTATACAAAAATTAGATTTTTCTTAAAAATTGAAATTTTGCCGGGAATGGGGCTTTAAGGTGATGATGTGATATTGATGATGAAGATGATGGTGATAATGATGATTTTGATAATGAAGATAGCGATTGTGATTGCTATTATGACGACCGTAATAATTAACTGTTTAGCTGTTCAATAATAATTCCATATGCAACGCTTTCGTACTTTACAAACAACCATATGAAACTGAGGGATAACAGTTGGTTGGTGAAGCGCAATAAGCCTCGAAATTGTTTGGTACGAGCTTTGATTTCCTCCGCCATACTTCCGGTAATATTATCAATTGAGCGTGAAAAGTTGTTCTCCAAGTTGAACTCATGATCCAGCTCGATTTTAACATAAAATACGTCTTTGATCTTTTGTATCACTTTCGAAGCACCTAATAAAACATGAGATTATAAAACAAATGATTATTTGCATTCGATGTCAAAACTATCATACACAGTGGAGTCCTAAAGTTAATTTTAGTCTTGTTGAATGTAATCAGCAGGGAAAATATTTGCGGCAAAGTTGACTGATTTGGCGGCTACTAATTTAATTATTATATTTTTTTTAGGCAATGACGATATAAAACAGTTATGGTTGCCGAGAGTACAGGCACTATCATAGCGCCTCTCAAGCCAAACGAATTCGCCCGCGCTTGCCTTCTTAGGCTAGACCTATGACGGTCGTTGGCAGTCGTAAAACGTGTTTTGTGCGCACTGGTGGGGGTGGGGGCTGAACGATCAGATACTTAAATATAAACGCACCACACTGATGGTAAAATATTCATTAGTGTTGATCTCATTTCTAAACTTCACAATTAAGCATGCTTGTATTTCCACGGCATGCAACTTACCTTTAGATACAAAGCTTGCTATCTTGCCAGAGATATGGCACAACAGTTTTCCAACTGAAAATAAAGAATAAACGTTGATTCTGCACATGTAAAATTAATTCAGCTCGTTCAAATGAATACTTTATATACGATCTGATTTTGTTTAGTTTATTGTGAACATGCAATATGCAAAAAACCGCAGACACAGAGACAACTTTTTTTTAAAATAATATTAGTTGGGTATGGGGGCAGATCTCTACACTGGTGGTAATTAAAGATGATAAATATTTGAGAAAAGCGTATATCTTCATCGAGATTTGAACCCAAGTCCTTCCGTTACCCGGTCGGATACCCTACCAACTGAGCTATAAGGCCAAGTGGTATACATAACAAAATATAAATTATAAGATTTCTATTGAAGACAGAAAACACACTAACTGGGTACTGTGATTCACTTATGCATTACATTGATATGTCTATAAGACAAACCAGTTCATATTTGCTTTTGATGTTTTAAAAAACAAATTTATATTATGTAACTGAAACATTTAAGTAGGAGATTGTTGAACCACATAATACAATAATTACGGTAACCTTTCTCCACTGTCAATCAAACTTAACTACTGGCCAATCAGGTCAGAGTAAGTAATACGCGCTTGTCAAACAAACACGCGTGTTGTCCCACAAACTCACGTGTTAAGCGTACCGGTACGTTAACGCTGTCGTTTTGTAGGACCTCAGCAAGAATTTGGGGCTTGCGGATTAATAGGCTCCATGATTATACGCTTATTGATATTAAATTAGTAGTTTAGTTGACGCTTTGGATATAATAATAATTAAGCTAAAAACACTAAACTGTAACTTAATCATACTTTAGGAAAATACTTCTCACTTGAATTAAATGTTACCTTTGATAATCCCACAAACAGGTTTAGCAATATCCACTATATTACATGCCCAATCAAAAATCTTCGGCGCCTTTTTTTTGCAATTTCTTTTTCCTTTAAGTAAACCATTGTAACACGCCCTCTCTGGTTTTCCAAACTTTTCGTTACATCTTTTAACCGTATCTTTCATCCATTCATAAACACTTCTCGTTATACCGCCTAAAAATCAAAATATACAACATTTTTAACTTCATTGATGGTAAAGTTTAGTTGGAGGCGAGTTTGCTAACGGGCGAGTGTGTTTAAGGTGAGAGTTTGTTAGGGAGAGTTTCTAGGGGTGGTGGTGGGCGACTTTGGATGTTCAGGGGGCGAATTTGAAAGGAGGCACGTTTGTAGTGAGTTGGTAAGGGGTAAATTTGCTAGAGGGAGGGAGGGACTAGACTGATAATTATTTACTGGATAAAGATTCCTTACATTATACACTGTAACAACAGTGTGGAGAATTTAAACACAAAGCTTTACGCTATTTTCCCCACTTCCGTTGACACATTTTAAAAGCTAAACGTATTATGTGAGGTGTATAGCATCAGGTAGTTTTGATATCATGATTACAAACACTTAAACGCATCTTGATGGTGATGGTGTCGATGGTGAGGTTTATGGCAATAATAATGATGATTATGGTAATGATAGGCCTAATGATGATTTTGATTTGATACCGGTACTCACCTATAGAGTCAAGTGCTTCCTGTACTACCTCAAATGCGTCCCTGATCTGGTCGGTAACTTCCTTCACCTCCTGTATCGTATCATTCAAACGATTGAAGATTACTTTAAAAAAAATAAAGCAATTAAAAGGCATTATTAAAAGAAATATCAATAATGATTTTAGGCTTATATATTATTAATGTTAGATCATTATTATACAGTTCGCTCTCCAATGCGAGACCCCTTTAACACCATTTTTACACTTCAAGCAAAACTCCGGACACAACACAAAACCACTTTTTAAAATTACCATTATCTTCAATCTGTTACACAAAGCTAACCCTCTAATTGGAGACCGAAACCCTGAGATCATCCCACACGTCCAGCTCCCAAAGGTGGTGTAATCATCATTAGAGGCCTATCATTTTATCAATTATCAATATCAGTAATCATTATACTATAGGCCTACCTGTGATTAATATTATGATTGTTGTTTAAAACAATAAAAAAAAAAAGAAAAAAAGAAAAACATACCAGCAAGTGGAGCAGTGGCAAGTTCGAAGAGTTCCTTTGTTTGATTGGCTGCAAGCTGCGCACTGCAGAGTTGGCTCTGACTCGCTATATCCAGGTTGATGGCCAGGTTAGCCATAGGACCAGACATCACTAACATGAAACCGTATGCCATGAGAATAGTTCGCCCTTTACCTGGGAATGGAAAGTAGAAAGCAAAACATTTAATTAAGGTCCTCTTGCCCAGAAAAAAAAAAATATATATTATGATTCTTGATATAACGTGACATCACTATGGTCGGAATGTACGACACAGCCGATAAGTTAAATCTTTTCACACGTCTGACGTAGTCTGGCTATTGTTTAGTTTTCAATCAATCACCAGCAAGACTCTCCAAACAAAAACATATAATTAGTTCACTGTTTTGGGATTTCTGCAGATATTATTCTCCTGAAAACGATTAAAGCAACTCAATCGAAACTTCGAGATATTCTCAACCAACAACAACAGTTCTTTTCAGAACTATCTATGTGGTGTACCACAAGCATATAAGTTAAATCTGCCTAACTACTGGGCTAGTTATGAC